CAGATGAGCAAGTAGACGAGTTGGATGCAATAGTAGAACTGTAATGAAGGTGAATAAATCCAATAATCAAGCAGCAAAACAACAATACATTTAACGCGCATCGCATTGGATTCAACACATTCAGACATAAATGGCATTCGCGAAGGATCAACAGGTACTGGTACGGTACCGCTTACTCTATGCACCTACCTTGCGTCGTGTTTTCGCGTGCATGGTAGGATTGACGTTGCTGGGAATTGAACCCAGACCTCCTGCAAGCAGGCGCGCTTCCATTGCGCCACAACATCGATTTCTTGAGTGTCGTCGCTCTGGCCTTCCAGTCGTGCAGCACAGTCCTGCATAATAGCAGCACAGACCTACATAATCCACCAGATTCGCCAGCTAAAAAGTGGTTATGACACCATACATCACATACATACAGTACCACCACAACACTAGCTCCAATTCTTACCATGGTGATTGATTCGTTTCGTGGCGGGTCGGCAAATCTGCGGCGGGTCGGCCGTGGGCTGACTGCACAGCTACGACAGAACTCGAGCACACCGTTAGGTTAACGTTATGGAAGGATGATCGTGCTCACCGATGTTCCAGCATGTGCTTGGTCCATGCCTGCGTTCTGGCGCGGCACGGTCTGTGGAATTCTGGAATGGCAATGGAAAACACGACATAGCTTTTTTAACCAAGTATTTTTAGCCAATGAAAACTACTTGGACGATTTGGAATAAAATTATTTCGACAAAGTTCAACTTGGACGATCATGAGAAATTTTGGCCTTGGTTGGACGATCCTGGGAAATACCCATTTTTATAAAGTACAATTCCCTCATTATTTGGAGATTTGTTTTGGATATTTTTGTAAAGTACAATTCCCTCATTATTTGGAGATTTGTTTTGGATATTTTTATCAAGTACAATTCCCTCATTAACTGTAAAACCGTTCCACTGTTCTTTTTCTCGGATAACACTGCATTATCGGTGTTTATATGAAACTTTGTATGCTCGGACCACTTCACCTCTTACACACTAGGGGTTCGATTGCACCCCCTCCCCAAATTTGTATCAAATCGACAATAAGCAGCTTCAACTTAAACACGAGCTGGTTAATTGAGTGTGGATTATCCCTTGAAAACGAGCTGGCTATGATTGCGTAACTTGCTAACAATCCATTCTTTTGCATTATTGATTCAGTTTCCTTGTCATCGCGATCACTTTGTTCGATCGTTCTGCACACGGTACAGTCCTCTAAACAGAATCATCTCGTAAAAACGGGGGGTAATTAATTATGTTGACATAAGCAAAATCGGCATACATTCTCCAAGTCTAAATATCGCCATATTGTGCACTTTGCACGTTTTCGCCATATTCTGCACTCGACGGCTCTCTCTCGGCATGTCGTGGCCTACCTGGTAAGGTTGGACTTCGATTCGTCAACCTACGCCCCCATCCATCACTACTATTGAAGCAAGCTCATGTGCTGCATACCATGACAATGTCTATATCGTTATCATCGACAAGTTATAGTTCCTTGATGTCTAATTACGAAGAGAGGCGGAGCATACATAGGAACCCGCTATACGTATAGTGTGACCTGTCACTACAACGTACAATCGATGGGGTTCTGGCAGCGCTTGATAAATCTTGCGATAGGTTATCGTATGGGTACATTCCCGCTGTTGACTATCTAGTTCATGTTGCACTGTTCAAGAAGCAACGTCCATGACAAGCAACCGCGAATCCGTTCTTACGACGCCGCAGCTGGACGAAGATGTAGACCACACGCCACATCTCATGGAAGAGCGCACGTCACGGGCCATGAAGACGGCCAAGCGAACGTTTGGACTGATCTTAGCATTGGCCGTGGTTGGCACCGTCGCCTCCGTTGTGGCGATTGCTGTCCAGCAGCAGCAGCAGCCCAGTCACAACTCCAAGTTGACACAAGCGAGCACAGGCAGTGGCAACTCCATCAACGATCTGCTTGAAGCCCAAATCGAAGCCCAAATCGAAGCCAAGACCTTCCACGACACCGCCCCGCACATGGTACAGAAACATCACTCGTGGACAGAGTTTCTAGTCGTCGACGAAGAAGACAATGCCAGCTATGACAATCGATTGAGGGGGAGCAACAGCAACATCAACGGTGACGACAACGAATTGGACTATGATGGCGAAGATCCGTTTGATTGTGACGACGACGACGATGTTGTTGACGATGACGAAGATCCGTTTGATTGTGACGACGACGACGACAATGCTGTTGACGATGACGAAGATCCATTTGATTGTGATGACGAC